GTAACTACGGTTTCTATGAGTTTCTGAAAGTGAACTATTTGGCGTGAATGGCATGGTTTAAAAGTTTAACAATGTTTATATAAATGAAAAGCAAAGAAAGTTGTTTTGCCTATTTTAATGCCCAATTAATGTTTATGTGCTGAGTTTAACATATTGGGGGAAAACACTTATTATCCAAAATTATTGTAGCTCATTTTGGGCAGGCCTATCCGCAGCGACTGGGGAGCAGTTGGTGGTTAGGTGCCTTGCTCAAGGGCACTTCAGTCACGTACTGTTGGCTCAGGGGATTGAACCGGCGACCTTCCAGGCAGAGGACTGGTTCCCTAACCTCCAGCCCATGACTGCCCCAATTTTGTTCAATAATATAACAGTGTCGTGTTATCATTATGGGTAAAGGACTAATGAATGATGTTTTCTGACTTGTGAGGAGGAATGAGGTTTTGGAATAAACAAACGTAAGTGTGTATATGCATGAACTCATCATCAGAAGTCAGTATACAGAAACAGCCTAGTACAAAAAAAAAATCACACACAAAGTAAATAAGCCACGAGGACAGGGACAAAAAGAACTGTTCTCTAACCACCCAGTTTGATGAGCTGGAACGTGTGTTTTGAAGCCCCCTATAGACTAAATCAATTGTGGTCCTGAGTGCACACAGTGTTTTTTGTTTGGAAACGGACTCGATGCCTGTATAACATTTGTCCATGTCTGAGGAGAGCAAGCATGAAGTGTTTTTCCCCTCCAGCAAAATAGCAACATCCGCACAGCTTGGGACAGAAAACCATCAGGTGCAAAACCGTTTGTATTGGTGTGATAGTTTCACTCAGCCATAATGAAACACTGAAGACTATATGCTGATTAGTTTACAAGAAGAAAAAAAGAGAAAGAGAAGAGAGGCAAAGAGAAGAGATAAAAAGAGGAGAGGAGAACAAAGAAAAGACAATCTAAAACAATAGAAAAAAGATGAAAGTAAAGAGAAGAAACAAATTAGTAGAGAGAAGCAGAGAGGAAGAAGAAACGAGACAAGAAGAGAAAATGAAAGGATAGTACAGAAGGAAAAGAGAAGAGAGATGACAAGGTGAGCAGAGAAGAGATGAAAGGAAGAGAAAAGAACAGAATAGTAGAGGATAGAAGATAAGGGAAGATGAACAGATGGCACAGAAGGAAAAAAGAAGGGATGTGATGAGAAGAGGAGATGAAAAGATAGTACATAAGGAAAAGAGAAAAGATAGTACAGAAGGAAAAAAGAGAAATGACCAGAAGAGAAAATGAAAAGATAAAGAGAAGAGAGAAATGATGAGACAAGAAGCGAAGAGACATGAAAAAAAGAACAGAAGACAGTAGAAGTGAAGAGAGTAGAAGAGTTGAAGAGAAGAAGAAAAGAAAAAAGAGAAGACAGTAGAGGCGAAGAGAAGAGAAGAAGAAAAGAGGATAAGAGATGAAATGAGTCGAGACAAGAAAAAGAGAAGAGAACGAGTGTTCCTAGCACTGTTTGCCAGTGAGAGCCAACATGATGGATAATGATAGTAAGCACTCCATTCCCTTTGCTCCTCTCCTCCCTGCTCACATTAACATACATGCAATATCCTTTATATTCATCTTTCGAAACCAACTGGCGCTTCATCGATCATCTTTCATAACAGTCCCAGAATAGCTGGCTAAAATAAAATGCAAAAAATCCTGCTGAACTTTTATTTTGTAAAACTCAGGGATAAACTCAAAGTAGTACGCTGAGACAAATCACAATACATTCCTCACAGTTCTTCCTCCACTCCACCCAGGCATCTGACCTCCGCTAAACCTTCTGTCCGAGCTTTTCTGGGCGTTGCGACGCACTGGAAATGATGCATATGCATGCACACACTTGCTCTTTGCCACTTGTCTTTCCAATGTGTTCTTTTCCCAGCTCGTCCTGCACTCTCCTGTCTCTCACTCTCTTCTCTAAAATAAGAATCTTTCTTAATGAAGCGATGTAGAGAGAGGTGAGGGGTGGCCAGGTGGTTTGCGTAGATAATGGTGAGCAGGCTGAGGAGATCAGAACAGCTCTGCATGATCGTCTACACTCCCTGAATGCTCACAATAGTGAAGCCCTAATACTGATCTAGTCCAGTTCCATGTGCTCTATTGCATGTTTGCAGACAGAATCTGACCACAGGAAAACTGTTCCTGGACCAGCACTACTTGCTGTGGAAGGAGGCAAAAGAAGACCACCCTAATACTGATCCGAACCCAGTTCCACATATTGGCCTATGGAAACTGATTCTAGACCAGCACTAGTTACAGTCCCAGGGTTATTTAAGGCCCAACTGGCTGCCTGTGTTGCTCCACGCTTGCTGTAGCTAGCTTGAGGTGGCTTAATCTAGAGGATTTGTTGGCAGCGCTGGGAGCAGCTAAAACGCCGATAAAGCCTTGATTCTCTCTCAGCATTAGCCTTGCTGTTAAACCACATGCAGCTTAGCATTTTCACTCCCACGATGTTAAAGCAATAGTTGGCAAAAAAATAAGAAACGGAAGCTTAAGTGTACCAATCAGCATGGAGCAAACCGCATGGCTAAATCATCACACAGTTACCTCAAACTGTGTTAAACTGTTGGGTAATTTGAAACAGACTTGCATATGTGGGTGTCAATAAAAATGGAGTGAAAAAAATCTTCAACATGGCCATTACAATTATTTCTCCTTATTCACTGACAACACTTCTGAGGTTCTTCAGGGATCTGTCTTGGGGCCTACACCTTTTCCACATATATGCTCCCTTTGGGACAAATTATAGCTAAGCATAATATCTTTTTTAATTGTTATGATTTACCTCCTCTGAGACCTGGTACCCAGAGGCTCAATTAGTGCACTGAAGATGTCAAAACTGGATGACCAGTAATTATCTGCAGCTGAATTAGAGCAAAACCAAGGTCATCTTGTTTGGTTCCTCTGAATTCACAAGCTTTCTAGGAAACATGGACTCTTTTACACCTTATTTTAAACTACATGTGAAAATTCTCAGCAGTTAATTTAAAATGCTGCAACTTGACTAATATCTGGGGCAAAGGAAAGGGATCATATTAACTTGGTTTTTAGCTTTCCTTCATTGGCTTCCAGTTAAATTCAACGTAATTGTAATTTTATTGTTTGTGTTTAAGGCCCTGAATGGACTGACCCTCCAGACATTGTGGATACACTTTGTAAATCTTTAAGGTCCTCAATCAATCACTTACTTTAAGGTCCCCAATCAGTCCTGAATGTTCCTCAATCCTGGCTAAAGCTGCTTTTGCGCTTGCAGTGCCAAGGCTCTGAACAATTGATGCTGATTGTTGTACATTTCATAGGCTTACACTGCTAGCTACATTAGCACAAAACTAAAGAAGCAAACTTCACACACCAAATATATCTGGCTGGATTTCTGGCAGAATTTCATAACTGCATTACAAATCATAATATTAGACGCCCTGCTACGTCTCCACACTTAGGCCTGGCCACCCACGTCCATATAAAAAGGACAAGGTGATCCCAGAGGAGAACTGTTGGGGCAGTAAAGCGATCTTAGTGAAGTAATGAGGGACTCTCAACTCTCTTTAACAGTCCCTGGGGAAAGGCGTCACACTGAAAACATTTGACAGAGCATTTGACTGCTTTAACAAGGTGCCTCTGGGAGAGTGAAGGAGAATGCTAACAGCAGGAATGTTTTACAACCAGGTCTGCCTGCAAAGAACAAAGAGGCCTGAAGTTTATGTACATATCAGCCTAAGTGTATGGGATTAGACTACATCAGTGGACCACATCATATTTTTTTACGGCAGGCACAATCCTTGTTTGGCAGGCAAATGGCTTTTTTTCATCATTAATAAATATTGCCTTTGATAGCATACAGTTTATTAGTTTTATTGGTAAAGCTTTTCTGAAGGGCTGCGTTTATAAGCCTACACAATATCTACATAAGCCTTTCAAGACAACTGAAATAAACCTATGTAGACATTTCTAAAGTCTTATTCCAACAATTGTCAGTCGCATATGCTGTGTGAAACGACATCGCAACTGACAAAAGCTTCCTTTATGACACATGCTGGAATAAGTCATTTACTAAGGTTTAAGTCAGGCGTCATGAAAGGCTTACGTAGCTGTCATGTAGCCTTACAAATGCTGTAGCAAAGTGTTACCATGAATTGTGTTTTATGCACCATTGCCAATGTTTATAAGCCCATGTTGTTGTTTTTTTACAATATTATTTTATTACAGGGATTTTCATCTTATAGTGTCTAAAAAATGTGCAAACTAAAACTTTGTGGCTGACCTAGTGGTGCCTCGCTTCTACTTAGCACTCTAAACTCTCAGGTAAAACTAAGGTAGCAGCTGTTTCCTTGCTGTGAACTTCAACCTCAAGGCTCTCAAGGCCACAGTATGTGAAGAGGTCTGATCTTGCTTCAGCAAATACAGTCAAGTTTTTGTTTTCCATAATTTGCTTTTACTTAAAATATTAGCTGAATATTTATTTTTATAATCAAATAAATGTATTCAAATTTACACATTTGTTTTGCATTAGATTCCATGGGTATGACATCACAGCCACCAAAGTGCCTTTGCAGATGACTGGACTAGGAATATTTCAGGCACTGTTGTAGTGTGTTCACATACATTGCAACTGTCAAAATATACTTTCTTTTGCTTCTTTTTAACACCTTTTGAAAACATTAGTGGCCCCTTACACCACAATAAAGTCATAATAAATGGACAAATTGGCCCAAAAGAAAATGTTCTGTGTCTGTGGAAAAGAACTAGAGGTATGAGCACTACACATCTGTCCAAACTGGGTTGACTGTGAAGGCCATAGCATAAGATTTACATCATTTTCATACTCATCTACCCATTCAATGACGCTTCGTGCTCTGAGCATGGGGGCCCAAACCCATCAGCATAGAAATATTTAATCAAAGGATCAAGATGATTAGTTAGAAAAACACATTTTCAGAATAACACACACTCTCCCATCTGTGGTGAGTGTACATACCTGTTTCCCCCCACACAGGCAGGTACTCATCTTGCTGAATGTCCAGCATGATCTCCAGGCCGTTGCCGGTTCCTCCCTTCATTGTGGTCCTCAGAGTCTTCCCTTCTTCAGCTGCATTGAACATGTAACACTTCCCATACCGCGTAAACACCTGCAGAGAGAAACCGAGAGAGAGAGAAAATTCTGGGTTAGGCCTCACAGCATGAGCCACAGATGGAAAAGCCTGGTACAAAGAAGGTGAATAAGTTTTATGTTTAAAATACTTTTTTCTGTAATAAATAATTGCTATACCATGTAAGAGGGGGGTAGAGAGAATATGAGAGAGAGGGGGAGGGTCTTAGAAAGAGAGAGAGTGAGGAATAGCAAATGAGGAATAAAAAGAAAGAGAAGGAGGAAAGAGATCAAGAGAGAGGGTGAAAAATAGAAAAAGAGAGACAGAGAGAAAAAGAGGAAGTGGGGAGTGAGCAAGGAAGAGAGCTAGAAAGAGTCAGAGAGAGATGGAAAGAGAAAAATGAGGGAGAGAGAGAGTTAGGGAAAGAGAAATAGCGAGAGAGAGGAGGGGGGTAAAGAGAAAAAAGTGTAAGATAAGAGAGAAAAGGAGACAGAAAGGTAGGCCAGAGAATAGAGAGAGAGGGAGAGTAAAAAGAAAGGCAGAGATGAATGTGAGATGGCAGAAAGAATGTGAGAGGAACAGAGAAAGAGACAACAGAGGTGACAGAAAGTGAGAGACACTGAGAGACAAAGAGAGAGAGGAGATAGTGTGCGTGTATGTGTGTGAAAGAGAGAGAGAAAGAGAGAGAAAACAGGAGAGACAAAGTGAGAGTGAGAAACAGAGAGAGGTGAGAATGAGAGAAAGAGAGGGATAGGGAGTGAACAATGGAGAGAGAGAGAGAAAAGGGTGACAGAGAATGAGGGAAAAACATAGGAAGGGATGAAAAGAGAGAAAGAATGTAACAGAGAGAGAGTAAGAGGTAGAGAAAGAGAGAAAGGGAGAGTGAAAGAGGGAGAGATGAAAAGAGGTCAAAAGAGTGTGAGAGGGTAAGAGGAAAAAAAGCAATCAGTAGAGAGAAAAGAAAGAGAGAAAGAGGGTAGAAATTTTGAACACAGGAAAGAGAGAAAGAAAGAAAGAGAGAGAGAGAGAGAGAGAGAGAATATTAATATATGAGAATATTCTGGTCAGATCTTCAGTTTGTAGGTGGGTGTCTTTGTGGTTTAAGTTTTAAAGACTTTTTTCTTTAATAAAGAATTCTGAGAATCAGTCAGCCTGAGTTAGATTTAGCTTCTCCTGTTCGACAGACAGAGGAGATAATGCAAAAGGCTCTAAATGGAAGGCGGAGAGCAGAGTAAAACTAGTTTGTCCCCTGGTCACCCTACTGAGGATTTGTCTATCAGATAGAGAGCGATGGAATGACCTCTGCTGCACTGGATTCAGGCAGACTCGAGCGCAGGAAAGAAAGCTGGTTGCGCTTCCATTCGTTTAACAGCCAGAGACTTTACACTGTGTACTGATGAGAGACAAATCCATCCCATTAGAAAGTAATGGAGCATAAGAAAAAACACACCACCATAGCCTCCCTTTGTCTCTCTCTCTAACTCTCTCGCTTTCTCTCTCTATCCAGAGTTCAGTGAGTCCATGGAGGATGTGGTTTGTGGTTGAATCTAGCCAGGTAATGGTGCGTAGATGGAGGGAGATGGAGCAGAGAGAGTGGGGAGAATGCTTGGAAAGCTAATGTTGCCTATCCTCAAACTGCTTTGTTTGATTTTACTCTGCTTCTGCTTCGGGTCATGTACTGTTTGAGTCTCGTCCCGCCACCAAAACCCCAGGATAGCCAATCAGCTTTCTCTCAATGCACAGGTCCACAGATTTGCAATAGCAGGCAATGGTTTCAGGATAATACAAAACAGGCTAATGCACCATATCTGGATTGCCTGAACATGGCTCTAGGCTGGACTTTAGCTGTCTAAGCCCTGTCCAGCGCAAGGTCTTGACTGAGTGCTGGCCTCCATTAGGAGTGTATCAGTGCTGTTGTTTTGCATGATGTTGGCCCACACACCTGTAAAATACGGTATCTAGTATTTCACTGGTTTAATAGCGCTGCCACATGACATTGTAACTTATTGATTGACAAATCTGTTGCAGTCAATTGCAAAACTTACTAGGCTGCCTTACCACCAGATGTAAAGCAGTGATTGTGAACATGCCAGAATGAAAAATAATGTACAACCCAGAGTAGTCAACACCACTTCCATTCTACATAGAGACAAATAGGTGGGCACCCTTAACACACAGCAGCTTAAAGTGGCCCAAAACTGATCTCTTTCTTTATATGATGCAGATGTTTTATCTGGGTGGCAGTGTGATGAGCTAAAAACCCACTGAATCTGACATTTTCAGTTTGAATTTGGGACACTTTCATATGTGGTACTGACAGCTGTTACGTATTCAATATGCGGCAATGAGACTTAGTCTGAACAGAATTCTTGTGACTGGTACATCATTCCATTTGTCATAATTTCACACTGCCAAAAAGGAAAGGTGGACGACAACAGTGAGGGAGGATTCCAAAAGAAATGGCTGTATGTGCTATAGGAGAACGTAGCTGCAGGGTCAAAGAAAAGTTTAAAGTCTGAAAGCAAAGTTTAAAGAAACCAAGGTCACAAACCAAGGAAGTGGCCAATGGCTGAAAAACATGCCCTTTTACAGTGAGCTCAAACACATTCTGGGTAATGAGCCCAGCTGTCAGCCATTAGAACTTCTGATGCTGGTGAAGACGAAACTGAAACCTCCACTGCACATTTACATGAGCATCAACTTTAAGCTAGTGATTGTTTACCTCTGGATGGATGTGCCACGTGGAGCATTGATCTTTTGTGCATGCAGGTCAGTTTAGGAGCGTGATCTGTTTAGACCAGGCATGTCAAACTGGGGTCCTTCTGGGCCAAACTGCTGTGGACATTAGCGTTTCCCCTGTCTAACACTTTGAATTTAAGTCCTTGATAATTAGCTGATGAGTGCTTAATGAGGAAGTGTGCTGTAGTCTGCAGTGTTTTGGCTCGCAAGGACTGGAGCGTGACATGGGGTTCAGACTAATGTTAGATATAGGTTACATTGCGAAATTACAGAGAAACGTACCAATTCCTTTGCAGTGGCAGTGATAGGTTCCAGGGGTTGAAATGTCTACAATGCAAATATTGACATTTTTACTATCCAAAAGGACCAGTGAACCAATACGAGTTTTATATGTAATGTTGATACTGTTGGTAAAATAGTGGACAATCTAAAAATGTATGTTTTCTTTGGGGACTATTCACCTTGCAACACCCTGCATGAATTTAAAAAAAGGTTTTAGGCCAAAGCCTTCACACAAAACTATTGAAAACACTGTCAAGCATGAGGTAGTGTATTCGTAACAATTCTGTATAAGGTCAGATTGATCCATTACCAACCCTGGAAACACCTTGCCCCTTTCATGTATTGAATATTAATAAATTCATTCATCAATAACAATAACAAAATATATTCAATGTGATAATCTCCCTCCAGTAATTTATTAGACCTCACTGTTTTTATTCTGGTTTAAAGGGAGGTCATATAAATACTAGGATTCACTTTCTCAGCCAATTTATTTGCTACATTTTCCTGTGTTTTTTGTTCTTGCACTGTATTTTGCTAAGTACCATTCAGGGTCCCAACCTCAGTGCTTTCCTGCTCAACCAATCAGCATTTGATTGACGCATAGTATCGCAAATTCACATGACAGGTGCACCTCTGCAAGCTTCTGGGACCTATATCTCCTCAAAAACCCCTTGTATGCAAATACACAGACATATAAATAAACCTTAACACTACTCAGGCACCTCGAAATGACAAAACATCTAAAACGTTTTATATGGCACTGGCTCTAACCCAAAACCCTGTACTTTAACCAAACTGCAGGTAGCAGAGAGTAGGCTGAGGTGATATGAATAATTAACAGAGTGATCTGACGCAACACTCAGGCTTGTTCTGACAGTTATGGCTGACATACACAGAGAAGCAAATGAGCATGGAGAATTTTAGGGTCTCACATTTGTACAGTGCAATGACCAGCATGACCTTCAGGGCATCACCCCTCCAACCACATCCTAAAGAAGAAAGGAGTAATAGATAGGAGGACAAAGCAGAGGAGTGAAAAAAGATGTTCATCAATTAGCCCAAGTCAATCCTCATGGAGATGTAGGTCAAAGCCCTTCCTGTCTACTTGCACTGGGTGATTGATTGGAATAATCGTGCCTACAGTGCAGCCTCCTCCAGTGACTCCCTGTGCTCATTATCCTCGTGTGCACTGTCGAAACCAATCAAGCCAGGTAGACAGCTCAGAAAAAGACTCATAAAGCAGAAATGTTCTAAAACAGAACAGGAACTGGATCCATGAAATATGTGGATGGATGAAAACCGAGAGATACACACCAAATAAATTAGTTATGGTCAGTATGTCGCTCAAGCTAAGCTAACCAACTGCATGCAGTCTCAATGGACTCTCTGCACCAACTCTATAACTCTGTGGTGTCTATGGTTTCAAGGACCATCTCTATGGACTCTACGTTCCAACTCTAAAGTGGACACCAACTGTTAAACTCTATGGAGTTAACTGATCAATTCTATGGATTCCACCATCGGTTTGTCCAACATTAAGATGCCCAATCTGAGAAAATTCTCCACCAAGAGACTTCACCACTCAATCTGTCTGGAAAAGGTAACGGAAGCACACAATATTCCAAATAAAAATCTAATAAAGAACCTAGAAAGAGGTCCCTGGCACTGACCTCCCACAAAAACTGTGGTCATAACAGAACAGATTGAAGACTGGCCAAGGCCCATGTCTGGCCAGCCTTCAAAGGGGAGACAGGAGTTCAAGTCCAAGCTAAAAGGAGGATTATTTGTCCTCCATAGTGTAGATCAACATGTAATTCCTTGGCGTATGAATGTTGCATTTGCTAAAACAATAAACCAAATAAATAAATAACAGGCCTGTCTGGACTCCAGACTCAATGGAACAACTCTTTGGCCTCTGTGGACGCAGTGGACCAACACTATAGATAGTGTTGATACTACTGATAATATGATCTCTATGGACTCTGTTCTATGTTCATATAAAACAAAATGAACTA